AGAACCAAAAGACATTTTTTTTTTAAACAAAGATTTATTATAATCACCTAAACGTTACATTTCCTTTAAGCACAACGCCGAAAACAATAAAATAACGTCGTGTCAACATGAAAAAGAGACAAGTCGAGATGTTTTTTTGTTAGAAACTCACTCCCCTTCTTGATTCTCCACATGAGATCTGTCCTTTTTAGATTTTTTAGACAGATGAATATTTTAATTTTCCAACTCCCCTTTTTTCCTTTTCTCTCTTTTTATTTTCCACCCCCATGATTTTCGTCGAAGTGAAAAATCTAAACCCCTCATGGTCGATATTTAAACGCAATTTTCCCCAGCTCAGTAATGACTCTTTAATAGCCGTCATCTTTAATCATAAATTACTAGCAGAACCGAGAATAGAACAAAAAAAAACGTTAAGTCGCAATCCGAAAATAATTGTCTCGTTATTAACGATTTTTTAAATTTCTTTTTTAAACATAATTGTTTAGAATGGTCAGTTAATCACGCGTGGATTACGTTAATTATGATGTTTACGGCCGTGATTTATTTCAAACTCTGGTTAATTTGTTAAATTCGTTGACAGTGTCGTTGTTGTTGTGCAATTTAAATTTAGTTAATTAACCGAGATTAAATTAAATTTTTTTAATAAATAAAATTCATTTTAATTAATTCTTTTACTTCAAACGAATATCCTCATAAAGTACGTGGATTGTTTTCGAAATTAAACGAAACGAATTTTTAATCACACTTAATTAAGGATTACCTAGTTTCTCGAATCCAAATCCTTTATTTATTCAAAATTTAAGCACGGTCAATATTTAGTAAAGAATTTCCTTCATCATTTTCGAGTTTATTTCAAATATTTTCCAATTTAAAATCAAATATTATCAAATTAGTGTTAATTTTATGTCGAAATACACACTAAATTAGGTTCGGGGTAAAATGTAAAGGAAATTTGATGCCGAACAATGAATTTAATACAGATATCTAATAACAACATTTTTTTTTTGAGTTTTATCAAAACTGTGATATACTTTTTGCGTGAAAAAAGATCGCAGTGCGTTTTAGCAAATAGATCTCTGTGAGGATCAGTTTGTGTGATTTCAAATCCGTTTAATGTTCCACGCTTTGTATAAACCTGACGGATTAAAAGTGATACCAAAAAAATACGTAAAGCAAAAAAGAGCTATGTTTTTACACAAAACAAATCAAATTTCATTGTTTATTATTTGTAATCTAAGTAGAAATTAAATTAAATTTAATATTTTTATTCTCTTTGACAAGACGAAAATCGTCTTGTCAAATCCTTCTTAAATACTAACATTGTTATCGTTTAGTTCACTGAGGGAATGTTTTTAATCAGATATTGCTGGGTTCAGTGCAATGTATAATTACATATATCTCATAAACAACTTTCGATTACAAAAGGAAATCATAAATCATTACATTTTTGAAAATTTTGGGTTGTTCAGAATTTCTCTTCAATTTAATTTCAACTGCAACGTACTCTTTATTATCATAAAAAATGAATATGATTACTAGGGCACGGAACTTTTGTAACAAAACGATACGATTTCCCCCCTCCACTCGTTCTCAGCAGAAAATTTCATACAAAAATTGTTCTAAATTAAATTCTAAAACGATTTTCTCAATAAAAAATATATATATAAAAATTTTTTTGAGGTTATGTTCTTAATTATTGATCAAATCAAAAATTTTTATTAACAATATTTGTTTAGAATTACTTCAGGAACAGTGTTTGTTAATACAATTTTCCCGGATGTTTCTAGTTCTAGATCTAGTGTTTGTTCTAGTTTTCGTTCTGACATTAAAACTAACACTAGACCTAGAACTAGAAACATTCG